TAATTTTAACCCTAAAGCACTTTGGGTGAATAGATTTTATGAAAGATCTGATACAAAATAAAGTCTTGGGGGCCTTATGCCACTGTAGGTGCACAAAGGAGCCTTGGTGTAACTGAGAATCAGACCCTTATTTCCCAGATTCTACATGGAGTTTAATCTCAGTGCGACTTACAGATTCCATTTAATGACAAAGCGGCTCTTTGATTGATAAAGGTCCCAGGCCTCTGATGCAGACTAAATAGCCAAGCATCCTGAACAGTGGAAAAATTATTCTTGGACATGTATGAAAGAAGACTCTCCATCACTTTCTCACATATGCTTCTTAGAAAAATTCCTTTTCATTTCAGAATGCTGTTTTATAAGGAAATATTAAGAGGAGAGAGGGCTTTGCCTTTTGCTCCAAGAGGTGGCTGTTTGGCGAGGGAAAAAAACAAAGTCAACATAGAAATAGCATGGAAGCGCCCTACAGAAGGTTTATTTTGCTCGGTGCACCCATGGCTTCAAAACTCAGGGAAGTTAGGTCAATTAAACTTGTGTGCAGCAAAATTGCACTGGAGACAAGAGTCTACGGACATGAGGTATTGATTGTAACCTGCTAGCACCCAGAAAGGGGCATTTTCAGCTGCCTGTGCCTGGGAGGTTTCTGAGCCTCCAATTTTCCACATAAATGCTCAGGAAAGGAGGAGGGGAGCCTGCAGAAGCCCAAGGTATGCTCAGAACAACCAAAGGGAATTATGGCCCTTCAGCACAGTTACATTCCATAGACTATCACACAGCTTCTGACTCACATCTTCATGAGATTCATAATATCTACATTCAGATATGTGTACATGTACATATATATAAGTGTCTAATTCTAAAAGGACAATTACTGGCCACCACTACCTACTCTCTAGCACTGTGAAACTCATTGCAGCGAGATGATCCTTTATAGAAGAAGGCAATGTTCAATGCACTCTGCTTCCAGTCTGGGTCTACCACAAACCTCAGCTTCAAAGATCAGTTCTTCACCAACACAACTCCTTCAAAAGGGCATGCATTAGAGAACAAGAAGTGAGCCGTGGAATCATGTTCTGCTTCCCATCGCTGCCACCTACTTGCTAAATAACCTTGAGCAAGTCACTTCCCAAATCCACTTTTCTTCCCAATGCTTCCTTGTTCAGACCTTCAGCTCCTTGGGACAAGGACACCGTGTGTGAGAGGTACACAGGTTTAACGCTTGGAGCTATATATTGTTACCATAAACATCCATACTAGCACACATTGGAATAAGCTTTCAGATAAGAGGGAAAAAATCCCGTTCACTGAAAGGGAAGTCAGCATCTGTTTGAAGAGCCGCTCTGGCACACGAACACCTCAGCCCATTTTTATTCCAATGGATTTATTTCACTATATCTGAAAGTTTCATCAACTTCTGTAGAAGGAAAAGAGGGAAAAAAGAAGAGGAGGTGGGGGGGGAGGAAACCTGCCTGTGAGTGCTGCCAGTTTCTCCATTACAGATACTCACACACTGTAATCACAGGCGCTAAAGAACTTGCTCTGATCTGCTCAGAACAGATGACCTCGCAGCTCTTTCCTCACCTGTAATTTCTAGATTTCAGCTGATTTAAAAGACTGCGAGGAAACAAAACGCTGTTCATAGTTCAGTGCCAAAGAGAAGCCCGTGTATCAGGAACACGTCTGTCTGTTTCTGATACAGGGAGTAAATTGACTCCAAATACAGCCCTGGACTTGTTGGTCGTTTTCCCTCGAAGCAGTAAATAAGGAGCAGGGCTGGGAAGCTAAGCCAAGCTAATTTGGCCAGTTATTATTTGACTGAAAGGTGATAGGGAACGTTTAAACGTTAAAGGTTTATACCCTTCTTGTTAGTGGCATCACTCAATCACGACTACTAAGCCTCCAAGTGAAGGGATTGCAACTACCGAGGGAATTACTCACTCCAACCAGGAAATGTGGGGTTTGTTAGTTCAAACAGCATCTGTAGGAAGCTGGTAAACAACAGCTGAGATGATGAAAGATCACATCAACTCCTTGCTTTGAAGTAAAAGATATTAAAACCACGAGTGTACAAGTTCCTATTATAGCTCAGCCCCCCCCGCATGCTGATCCCCAAGAACCTGGCATGGTTGTAGTTGCTGCATAACAAGCTGTATAATAAAAATCCATAAAAATATCAACGAGGCACTTGAAAGTGACATGGAAAAGCGAGGGAATTTGTGGTGATGCTGCCATTACAGGCGATTTGTTCCTTTATGCCTGGAACAAAATCAAACATTCTTCCAGGCCCGGAGTGACATTTGGAGTCTCAGAAACTTCAGATCGGTTGTCACCTGGATGGGCAGATTGTGGGTACTGAAAAGCAGAACCATTACAAGCATTTGTGCATGGGGTGTGTGGCAGATTTGTGCATGAGCACAAGGACAAGGGGTCAGATTTTAACAGCAGACTCATTGAAGTGCGAGTTCTCCCTGCGTTAGGTGTTTGTTGGCAATTACAAAAGTACAAAAACGAGTCAGGGGCTGCTGCCTCTTGGCATGTTAAAGGGCTGCAGGTTAAATGCCTACGGTGCTTTGGAGCTGCTCGTCAAAGTTGCTCCAGGAAGTTCTGTTACATGACAGTACTGAGAATCAAGCACACACATCTTAGATTCCCATTGCTGTCAGCTTCTATCATTTTAGTCCACTCCACCCATAGTGAAAAATCTCCTCACCTGCTCCTTACCCAACATCTGCTTTCTCCATCTCTTCTAAATCCCCTCACTGTTTGGTATTGTGTTTCCCTCTTCTTTCCCTTCCAGGAACCACTCCACCTTGCTTTTTCCTCTGAGCTAACTAACCCCATCATGCATTCCACCCTCACCAAAACTGGCGCCTACAGAATCCAGCTGATAGACAGCAGAGACCCAGGCTTTAGTTCAGCTCTCTGGTGCTCCTATGCTGCAGTCATTTCTCTGTCTAAGCCATTCTTCTATAAAATAAGGATAACAATTTACATCTTTATTTGCAAAATGCTTTGAGATCTTGACATGAAAAGAGCCAAAGAGCAAGCATGAATAATATATGAGCACTACAGGACAAGAGATGGGTTTTTCCTGTTCCTACCACACCAATTGAAATGTTTTTACCTGCGTAAATGTTTTTTCCACAACAAACCTTTTCAATAAGCATTTTCCCCTACTTCTTTTAAAACCCTTTAGCTTTAAGAATTGCCTGTTCAGGAAGATCTCTAAAACCAATCACCCTCACAATGTGGACTCACTTTCTAGAGCCTCACACTTCCCTGCTGTTTCCTCTCTCTGCATTCTCCTTCCCCAGCAAGGTACCCCAGATTCCATACTTTTGTAACCATGCCTTTATATGTATTAGAGCAATACAGGCATATACAGTCAAACTGGAACTTGTCCATTTGTCAGAAGGTGCCTGGAAGCTGAAATACTCAGAGGTATTTTGCCATCTCATTTGTTTGATTAGTTGCCTTTCAGCACATGTAAATCTATTTATTTAGGATGCCACGCAACAGAGTGCTTCAGGGTACAGCACACCCAGCTTCCGCAGAAAACAAACATCCTAGGCCTTGACCCTGCAATAAACCCCACACCAGCAGCTTTATGTCTTCAGCATAGCAGTGGTTATGACTTGAAAATCTTAAAAGTAACTGCTGCTCCCAAATGAAGGAATGCTAAAGGATATGGATCCGAGTGTGAGACTACATCTCAGGGATACCAGGGCAAACCAGTATCTTTCAGAAGACGTAATCTTCATAAAGTCTTCCTGGCCCTTAAAAATGATGGTCAAACAATAGCAATCCCTCCTCAGTGCAAGTCCCATCCCTTCCTGAAGTCTTTGGCAGCCACCCTTAGAGAAATAGAGTTCAGATGCAATAAAAGCAGATACTCCAGAGACTCCACAGAGCCATCTAGGATTCCCATTCCCCCTTTTTGGTTTTGTTTGTTTGGGATTTTTTTAGGCACAATCACCATGACAGGCTGTAGAACCTCAGGTATAAAGCCCCAAGATAGATGGGAGATGCAGCCAGACATCCCTGCTCACCTTCATCTCTTCTTTCCCTTTATGGAGGCTATAAACGACCACATTTGTGTGTCAAAAACCTGTGTATGAGTATGAGCCACAGACTGATATGAGGCAATGGATTATGAACTACTGGTGACAGATGTACTCCATGGCTCTCCCATGGTTTCCAGCTCTGGGTGGAAAACTAGCCACTTTCCTTGAGCAAACCAAGTGGCTTTTGCTGTAGCATTTTGCTAAAGCCAAAGCTGAGCACAAATAGGTCCAGATTTTGCTTGTCAGTATAGAGTACGTGTTCCAAGGGCTGGGAGGAAAAGCGGGGTATGAGGAGGACTTGACTCTCGATGCTCCTGACCTAAGCTCAGCTGTTAGACTACAACATCACCTCTCTTTTTCCAGCACAGAGCTGCTGGGTCTGATTCGATCAATTCTTTGAAATGCAGAATGTGAAAACAAATCTGTTGAGGTTTTCTCCCTGATCACAAGACTTTGCACCTTTGTGGATGAGCACAGTGAGGAACACACACTCTGCAAAGGAATTCATCAGATCTCAGGAAAGAACATGCAGGCTTGGAGAAGCATCCTTCCCAGCAGCTTCCAAAGTAACAACTGGTGACAAAAGTTAAACTGCATTCCCAAGTGCCCTAAATGTGACAGATTAGAGCCACCAAGGTAGAAGGAAATATCCGTGTGTTAGGAGGACACACTGATCACCACAAATGCATCTTTATGAAACAACTGCAGTCAGCTGTCAGCACACGCGGTTCTTTCACTTCCCCCCTTCCCTCATCTAAAGGTATCTGCTGCATTATGGGGCTACAAGTAATGCAATAAAAAAGCATTTCAAGTTTCATTTGACTCTTGTTGCACTGTACACCAGAGCTGCATGCTTTACAAGTCTACCAGAGTGAAATAAAAAGTAAGACTTCCTGTATGTCTGCTCTGCTGCTCAGGTTATGAGGCAGAGAAAAAAGTATCTATATATCAGTAATTGCTTTACATATAAATGTGAAAACAATTTTAGAACTCCCTGGTCCTGTATCAACATGCATACGTCTTTTACCAGCTCTGAACTGCCTATTATCATCACACATAAGAGCAATGATAAAGGAGAAGGTTATACTCCACAGTTCTATGTTAACCTGTTTATACCCAAGCATTTGCAAAATTACCTTGAGGTGTATCTAGGGATGCTGAGGGCTCTACAGCTTCTTGCATTGTGCAAGGAGTAGCAATGTAAAAATCTAGGAACATCACCCCTGGCCCTGCTACCTTCCAAAGCCACAGAGCACAGCAGAGGAATCTTCAGCAGCCTCCAATACAGCCCCTGTATCAGCTTGCAGATGCTGATGGCTGTGTTACATTGCTATGGTGTTACACTGATGCTGAAAGTACAACAGAAAATACTCACTTCTATGGATTTCACTGGATCAAAAGAAAAGCCAGATTCTGGGTAGCTGACATACAGCCTTGCACCAAACTAAGTGCATGGGTTTAAAACCCATTCATTGTACTGATATTTCAGTGCTGATCTATCCACGTAAACTAGCCCCATATTCCACTACATCCATCGACAACAGCCCATACACTCCACCAAGAAAAAAAAAAAGAAAATCAATACTATGCAATTAAAAATATTTCTTTTAAGTAGCAGTAACCTGTCTTTTCCTTTGGCAAAGACAGCCAAAAGCTTGTATATAGCACATACCCAACAGAAACAAACCTGAGTGGACATGCTCCTCAAGGAAACCCTGGGGAGCTGAGTGCCACTTGAGGGAGAAACAAAGCACTTACCTCAGTGTAATGCACTGCCAGAAACCATTTAAAAAGCAAAACCCAACAACCAGCAACCCAGAGCACTCCAGCTATTCACCCTGCCTGCTGTGTATGGCCCTGCACTCCAGTGTATCTACGGAGTAGTAGTTAAAGCTCTTTGAAAGAGGACTGAAATTTAGCAGCTGTATTAATGAATGCATTGAATAGCAAGTATGTGCACTGCAAACAAACTTTAGCAGCTGTATTAATGAATGCATTGAATAGCAAGTATGTGCACTGCAAACAAACTGAGTTTGAGCCTTATTACATGAGGAAACCCTTGGAGCCAGCCCTTCTGCAAGCCACTGTCATTAGTGGGGACCTGCAGAAGTCCTTGCATGGCCCCAGGAGCCTGTAGAATGATTTCTTGGGTTTTAAGGTCAACAAGTACCATCGGGTCATTTAGCCCAATGTCCTGAATAGCACAGGCCAGAGAGTTTCACCAAAAGAAACACCCCGTGACAAATTAAGTATCTGATCCAAAGACAAAGAAAGCCTTCCCTGGTGCAGCAGTGTCTTCAGTTCTGTCGAGTTGCTAGTACTGGGTTTACCAAGCATTGCTTTGTACAAAGATCTGAACGGATGTCTATTAAAAGCCCTGGTCTTGAGCAGCTCAGAAACCCTATAAAATGAGGAGAGCATTTGATTCCTAAGGAGAAAGTAAAAGATCAACAGGCAAACTAAGCTGGACTTGAACTTGAAACATCACAGACTGCTTGGGTGCCAACAGAGGCAGTCTGAACACCAGCCAGAATGCTTCAGGTTCTGATTTAGTGCCCAATGAAATCAATTATTGATTTCAGCAGGAGTTGGAGGATGTCTGATGGGAATTGCCCAAAGGGACACAGGAAGTTTGTGGCAGAGCTGAGAACCAACCCAGCTCTCCAGACTTTCCATTTAACCATATGTCCTGCTGTCCTTTTACATTTCTCTGTATTCTCTGTAGAAGCGACTCCCCCCACCTCTGCCCCCCTGCTCTGCTAAGAAGAAGTGGATGGCACTTTAACTCTCCTAGCTGCGCTCTGTCAGCTCTCACTGCCACTTGGGATGTGCTGTCGCTTCCATGGAAACAGATTCATGAATCCTTTTCCCAGGAAATGCCTCCAAACTGCCTTCATTTTGTTTTGCTGTTGTTTCTAGGCAAGTCTGTGTGCACATGTGCATGCTGAGGCTGGAGGACTTGTGCTGCTATTTAATGTAGAAATAACCTTTTGGAAACCAAATTGGGTGCAACATCAATGGCATTGTAAAATATTCTTTTTTTTCCAAAGGATTTCCCCTCTTCTGCCTGGGGTTTCTTTGCCAACACTGGTCCTGCCATTTAGATGGCACGTGGCTATTAAAATGTTCACCCACCTATTTGCATCAGTCATGGTCAAGGACAGACAGTTGTGTTGCAGTGAAAGAGAAGGGGAATCTCTACCACAGCAGGTCTGGTTACAAGGATGCAGCTCACTCTAAATGCTTGCACTAACATGGCTCATGCTTTCCACCACCTTGGGCAATACTGGGGGTTGGAGTATAACAGAAGACTTGACACTCTACAGCCTGGGCGGCCAAGCCAGAAGTTGGGCAAGATCAGTATCACATACTGAATCAAGGCCCGACAAGGAAATGTAATTCACATGGACAGTGATTTACAGCCAAGCAGGTCCCCTTATACCCGAGGAGAAATTAAAGGGGAGAGCAGTCCATAGAAAAGACTGCAGAGCACATCAAGTCACAGAGACAACGATCAGCTTCACCCACCCGACACAGGTTTCTCTCCATCAATACCAACAAGCAAAGCTGCCAGCTCTGAGCCCTGCTTTACCCCCCATGCTTACAGGACAGCATTCTCAGAGAGAATAGAGGACTATGGAAGTCCTGAACTCCGATCCTCAGTTCATTGCCAGACAAACAGAACACCCCTTGTCAGCTTAAATGGCTTTAACCTGCCAGAGGGGAGGTTGAAATGAGCTCTTAGGCAGAAGCTCTTCCCTGTGAGGGTGCTGAGGCGCTGGCACAGGGTGCCCAGAAAAGCTGTGGCTGCCCCATCCCTGGCAGTGTTCAAGGCCAGGTTGGACACAGGGGCTTGGAGCAAGCTGCTCTATGGAAGGTGCCCCTGCCCATGGCAGGGGGTTCGAACTGGATGAGTTTTAAGGTGTCTGTTTAGAGCTGTATGTGCCTTGTGCTTTAGTCCTTTACTGGTCCTCTGTCTGCTGGTAGATGACATCTGCTTGGGGTGACTGAGAGCACCAAGACACTGGTTCCTATTTGTTACAGGTATTTCCTTTCTGTGTGAGAAGGGGAGAGATGTTTTGTTCTGTGTAATTGGGAACTTGGAAGGTTCTTGCACTCTTGATGTTCAGAGTGAGAACTTCACTTCTGCTGCAGCTTTTGGGCTTCATCTGCATGAAACACCTTTTATTGAGCTGCTAAGAGGATGATTTTCCTTTAAAGACCACAAGCCCAAGTCTTTAGTAAATGGGAACCATAAGAAGCCTTTAAAAAGGGGCCACTGTAGAGCAAGGCAGTATCATGGTGGCAATTACATAAGTAACTCAAGGCACTGGCATCGGGATAACTGCAAGGGACTCTTAGTGAGGGCTGGGACACTCGCCCTCCGTAAATCTCATGATGATATGATAATAAACCTCTCCTATCTTCTGTTGTTCACCTTTCAATCTATGTAAAGGTAACTCTGTGGAGTACACACTGAATGTAATCCTCCTGAACATACAGAAGTGCTTCAGTCATGGACATCACCCAGGAATTCCAAGTTAACCCTAACAACAGGCCTTAGCACATGAATTCAGCCAAATTGCAAAATTCAGTGTGACACAAGTGAACACGACAGCAGGATGCTGATCTGAACCAATTGCACAGCTTTTTCATCCAGTCTTCAGAGAAAATAGAAACCAGTGTATGAACAGCAGTGACCCCAGTAACACACATTCCTGGTAAGAGCAGTGTCTGAAGCCAACTCAAATACGACAAGGGTTAAGCTACTCAACCTAGTGAAGCTGTCTGTAAGAGGGGCAGAGAAACTTTTCTCTGTCATGTCCTTGTACCAACTTCCAATGTACAACAAACGATTTTGGCTGCAAAGGAGAATTCTCCCACTGTTACATCTGCAATGCTAGTGCACTCCACAGACACCGTGTTGGTTTCATGTAGCATAATAGCCTGAGGGAAACCCTTTTCTTATTTCACTCCCCTCTCGCCCTCTTTTTCCTCCATCCTGCAAACAATTCATTAGAAAGCTACACCTAAATTATAAACTCCCAACTTTACGGAGGAAACAAATTTACTTGAGATTCCGAATGGCTGCTATGTCCAGATTGGAGAGAAGCAGCTGGTTTGGAAATGTTGCCTTTTTCTTTGTTCCGAATGCTATTTAAACATTGGCAGGGGGCCTCATTAAAGATGAATCGATGAATTAGTAAGTAGTGTTGTAGCCAGAAGAGACAGCATGTGCTCCTGTGGTGAAAACAGATTTACACAAAAGAAAGGAAGGGAGGGGGAGAAAATACCCCAGCTCAATGTGTAACAAAGTCAGTGTTTTACAATATTCTATCAGAGCTGCACCAATCCCAGGCAGGATCCATCACAATTTCCAATATAAATTCATATTTGGGGAGAGAAGTTGGAACTGGCTGCAAAGTTTCCTCTGGGCTAAAATGTAATAGACAAGTTCTGAACCCTAGAGCATTTTAGTTACCAAAATGTTATGAAGTGTGAAATAATAATAATTAGGCATATAACATGGGAATCACAAAACACAAAGATATAATCCAGCTGAAAAAGCAAAGAGAGATATCAGATCCACTATCACAATTGATGTATGCAGGCATTAATATGTTAATAGCACCTTAGTTTTGGCACCAGACTTCAATGGAAGTCTCAGAAAAAAGGATCAGCTTTAGCCATGCAACTGCAGGGGGGTTTCACATAGTCCACGATGATGAGGGGATAAATATCAGGGGACAGACCAAAAGTGGAACTGCTTATCTGACTCTGAAATGCAAAGAAGTCAGGGAAGACAAAAGACCTGTCACAGCTCCTGCCCTCAGTACAATACTTACTCTTTTGGCCTTTATCTCTTGCTCCAGCACCAGGAGATGCAAAGGTAGCTCCACACTGTAGTAATGAGAATGGTGCTTCCCATCTTACAACTGAATATAGCCTGCGCATCACCTACTCACAGGCACGTGCCCACCATCAAACAACTGGACGTCAACCTTCTCCTGTGCCACCAGGAGATAACATTACATTACAAATCAGAGCAAATTACTAAGGCCTGAAAACGGAGAACTGAGGCACAAAGAGGTTTCGTGATTTACTCAAGGTCACCCTGGGAATCTTGAGCAAAGGCTGAATCCAGACCCCTCCTATTCAATACCTGTTCATCTATGACCTATCCTGCAAAGCAGAAACTGAAGGAATATAAGCAACTACCAAGTAAACATATGATTTCTGAGTGACTCCAGTGGGTTTTTAACTCATATATAGAATATATATATATTGCTCCAGATGGCAAGACTGATTCATTTCAGGTCCATCACTATTAATAAACCTCAAGAAGAGT